GTAAAAAAGCTGACGTTTCGAGCGTTAGCCCTTCGTCAGAGCGATTGTACCAGTGTACCACTCGATTGTACCAGTGCTTTTGAAGATGTGTAAATTTTGATGGTCAATGGAGTGAATGAATGAAAACATTGTTGTCTAATAACTGTGTGGTTGTTCAGTTCATAGTCAAGAGAATGGGACGATGGATTGATTTTGACAATGACTATAAGACACTTTATCCATGGTTTATGGAGTCTGTTTGGTATGTGTAATTTCATGTAATAAACAGTTATGTGTCCTCAATATAGAAATTATTGGTTTTTCCAGTTGCATTTGTTTATTAACTAATGAAAACGAAAACATTAATTAACTTTCATTTTAACTGCTCTTGGTGTAATATATTATTACCAAAAAAGTTGCAAGACTTAACATGAACTGTTTGGTTATGTTCATCATCATATGATGTAGTTTTGAACTGATCTATGTTAGCCTTTTCAATATCAGATATAGAGAAGTTGTCACACTGGTCTGGGGGATTTCATTAAAATAATATACTTGTCGTTAAGAGTATACAATTTGCACAATGTGGGTGTTCATTATTACTGTTCAGTTTTAATAAATGTGAGGGTTTTTTTTTAATAGGTGGACATTTAAACAGATTTATGAAAAAGACTTGGTCTATAGAGGATTTAAGGTGTTGTATCATATGTCTTTATAGCTCTGCTTTTGATAGAGAAATTATTTTTGGAGAAAATTATATTAAAGGGAAGAGAAGACCATTTTTTAATAAACAAATAGTTGAATAATCAGATAATTTGACATCAGTTGAAAATTCTAAGGCTTAAATTCTTTTGTCCTAAAACTGATTGTTGATTAATATTCTACTTATTATCCTCTAGGTTATGCCATATTCCACAAGATGTAACACTCCATTGTCAAACTTTGAAGCAAATCAAAACTACAAGGAAACTATGGATCCATCTGGTTAGAATCCCTTCAAAGTTTTGTAAATTTGGTTATGATTGTAATTTTGTTTGTGGGTTTTGATTGAGGGTCTTGGAGAAGTCCTTGAAATTTGTTTGGGTTACAAACCCTGTGTTAGGTTTTAATTTTGCAGTGCCTTGATTTGTATGATCAAGTTTACTTGGAGCTGCATGCCTCCTTATATTTCACAACTTATTCTGGACTAATCTTTGTGCTAAATTTAACTTTGAGTTGAACAGAATAATTAGAATCCTTAAACTACTTTGTTACCCTTAAAGATAAACACTCTTCAGTCCAAACAAATCTGTCAGAGGTTTGCAAAATAAATTGAATTTAGTTGCAATTGACATGTACACACATACCACTCAAAAGGGTAATTACAGTTTATGGGTTTCAATAAGAGCAAATCAAAACGAGATGAACTAATGAACATTGGTTTGTCTTTGTGTCAAGTGATTGTGGACTTCCCTTTGGATGACGATGCTAATGTCAGTATGATTGCTTGGACAACAACCCCGTGGACACTTCCTAGTAACCTCGCTCTTGTCGTAAACCCTGACATGGACTATGTGAAAGTCACAGGTACTGTGAAAGTGTGTACAGTTTGTTCATTAATGCAACACAGAGGGCAAAGTAAGACCTTTACACTGAAGTGAGCAATAGTTGTATTTTTTTGTTGCAGTAATGTTTTACTTGCTTTTCTATTCTTTCTTTCTGCAGACAACACTACAAACAGAGTTTATATCATGATGGAAGCTAGGCTTGAAGCACTTTTCAAAAAGCCAGAGGAGTACACAGTTTTAGAAAGGTTTTTAATTCTTTCTGTTTGAACATGTAATAGTGACATAGTGTTAAATATGTATGTGATTGAAGTATAATATCAACTTTTAAAATATATTATAAAACTTTGTTTGCAAAATTGTGATATGTAAAGAAAATGTTCACACTGGGGATGCCCTCATGAAAAATTATTTAGAAAATATAGTTTGACTCTCGTGGCTCCAGAGACTAGAGAACTGACATAAAGAAATTTTTAAGAGAATGACTGGCATTAAATGTTTCTCTTTTTAGGACACTATAGATTTTATATTTAATTAATTGATATCTTGCAAGTAGTTTTTTTGTCTTTTTGAATAGATTTAAAGGATCTAGCCTGGAGGGAAAGACTTACAAACCTCTTTTTACATATTTTCAAGATGTAAGCAAATTGTGTTGATTTATTCCTCACTTTCCCTACGTAATATTATGCTGCAGGAACATTATCTTGCTAGTTTGAAAATACTGTAACATGCTACAATAACATATAAGTGTGACTTTGCAGCATCTTTTCAGAGCCAGTTATTTCATTATTACACACATATGAAAAGTACCAGCTATGTTTACATTGGTTTAATTTCCTTTATTTATTCTAATCATTATTTTTCAGCTCAAGGCTAGTGGAGCTTTCAGGGTGTTAGCAGATGGCTATGTAACAGGTGAAAGTGGAACTGGAGTGGTCCATTCTGCACCAGCCTTTGGCGAGGTTTGCTCTAGTATAATGATCATTTGATGGTAAATTCTATAATTTGAGGGTTTCATTGGGTACTATGTATAGTATGACATTTTGTATTTTAAGTGTAGCTATGCTTTTTTGTGTGTGAAATCCAGTGTTGTGGTCAATAGACTTTTAATTATTATGGTCTTGTTCATTTATCTATATGTAACAGTCTGTGGCTTTAAACATAATGTTTTCTACAAAAAGAGAGTGAATGTTAGAAAGCTAACCAACAAAAGACCATTTTAGCTGTGAGGTTTCACCTTCTCACTAAACCTGTTTTATTTCAGGATGATTACAGAGTCTGTTTGGCAAGTGGAATTGTTAAAAAGGGTGGAAAACTTCCTTGTCCTGTAGATGCAAGTGGAAAATTCACCAGTGAAGTGTCTGATTTTCAAGGGCAACATGTCAAGGTACAAATACAATACACAGAAATGGATGACAAATTTTGGCAGAGTGCATGTAGGTGTACTCTGCCATGAGTATACCTACATGGGCTTTTAAAGCGAAACATTGTTTGTAGGTCAGGCTTGGATATGTTTTGGTTCCAGTTTTTTCAAACTCTCTTTTTCATGTAATTATATATTGAATATAAGGCAAAGAAAAATAAAAACAAGTTTGAAAATTGTTAATCCAAGGAGAAATCTTTTAATGAAATGTCACCAAAAAATATCTGTCATGTCCATTTTATCTAAAGATGTGTCATTTTGTAGTGAAAAATGCTTTATCACTAAGAGTTAAAATGTTGAACATGTAACATAAACATGTTGTGGCAGGATGCTGATAAGGTCATCATGAAGTGGCTCAAGCAGCAGCAGAGACTGGTTCACCAAAGTACTCATAAACATAGCTATCCATTCTGCTGGAGGTAAGAAGGATTCCATAACACAGAGATGTGCACAAGATTTACATCATGTATTGCTAGTATAACTGAGGAGTCAAACAATCATAAGAAACATGTTCTTGAATTACAAGTTGGTAGACCACCAAAGCATTTTTGGTCCAAGGTTTGAAGGTATATAGGTTGTTTATTTGCATTGTAAGAACAACAATAAAGTTTTTTTCTGATTATGGCATGCATTAGGTCTGATACACCGTTGATTTACAAGGCTGTTCCTGGCTGGTTTATCCAAGTTGAATCTCTTGTTGACAAGCTTTTGGCCAATAACAAACAGTCCTATTGGTAAGCAGTACAAATCAATACTGAAACAAAAAGTTAAGAGAAAACAAGCTACAAACATGATCCATGTTGTGGGTCAAACTTTGTTGGTTTTCCAATTCCTCTTCCATTGTATGATTATCATAATGAATGAAAGAAACTGTGATGGAATAATTTAAAAACAAAGAAGTAATAACACGTAATAGTAATGTGCATTTCAACAGAATACATTTTCAACAGATAAGCTGCACAGAACCACAACCACAAGTATACTTAAGTCAAGTGTTTAAAAGAGAAGCACTTATCAACATTAAATGAAGATGTCAATTAGTGAATTGCAAATAAATTTAATAGTTGTTTGAACAGTGGCTTGTGCCATTTTACACCCACATACAATTTATTGTCTTTTTGACAAGGGTGCCAGAATTTGTACAAGAAAAACGTTTCCACAATTGGCTTGAAAATGCCCATGACTGGAATATATCTAGAAACCGTTACTGGGGCACACCAATTCCTCTGTGGGTCAGTGATGATTATCAAGAGGTATGTCAAAACCCTTGGTTTTTCCTCTTAAGGTGATGATATGAACCTTGTATAGAGCACAACCAGTTGTTGAGCCAGAGGAGCTGAAACTTTCATCAGGTGTTCAGACATCTTCTTTTCTCTTCTTCACTCATATGAATATTTTCTCCTTTTACAACCAGTTAATATTAGACAGTCACAATATGTGAGAACTGTATGTCTTCAGCAACATAATGGACAAGGCCACAGCTGCTTACACCAATTTTTTAGTTATTGCCTCCCTTTTCTCAATAATTGATAGAATTATCTTATTAGAGGTGGTGGATTACATTCTTTTGAATTTCATACGACAGGTTGTTTGTGTTGGATCCATCGATGAACTGGAGCAGTTGTCTGGTGTCAGAGTCAGTGATCTTCACAGAGAAAGGTATAACTTCTTACTTTAATTGCAATAGACATTTATAAAATTTGAATCATGCTATAGAATATATAGCTGTAGAATAATTGATTAAAACTCTTCCTTTTTTTTTTATCTCTCTTTTTATTTTCTAAATTTAACTTAAAAATTCTTTGCCAGTGTGGATGACATTACAATCCCGTCTAAAACAAATAGAGGAGTTCTTAGAAGAGTCCCAGAAGTGTTTGACTGCTGGTTTGAAAGTGGAAGGTAACTCATACATGTATATTTGTAAGTCAGCCACTGTGATGAATTTTAGAGCAATTATTTTTTGGCAATTTTTGTCATGGACCAATGCTATATAAGGAAGTCTGGTTTTGCAGTAATGTTGGCCAAATGAAAAATCAATTATTTTTAAATAAGTAGCTACGTACAGCAATGAAACCTCTCATCAAACTTCATTAAACAAAATTTATGTGTGAACTGTACTAATCATGCAGCTTTTATTTTTTCAGTATGCCCTATGCACAAGTCCATTATCCATTTGAAAATAAAGAAGCATTTGAAGCATCATTCCCAGCTGATTTCATTGCTGAAGGAATTGACCAGACAAGAGGATGGTAAGTGGCTTTTCCATTGTTTTATTTCAACTTTTCTTACAGTATCTATGCACTTTATTTTAATTATTGATTTAATGTTTCCCTTTACAGGTTTTATACTCTTCTGGTGATTTCAACAGCATTGTTTAATAAACCCCCCTTCAAGAATCTCATTGTTAATGGACTGGTTCTTGCTGCGTAAGCTTTTTAGCTGCTCTGTAGTTCTAATTGCTTTGCTCAAGAATTTGGATTTTTGGTGATTTTCTTCTTCATATTTATTTGCCCCAGTCCTGAGTTTTAATTCTACAAACACTTGTCTGTAGAGATGGAGCCAAGATGAGCAAGAGAAAGAAGAACTATCCTGACCCAATGGAGATTGTGAACAAATATGGAGCAGATGCTCTTAGGTTTGTGACTGACATTAACAAATAAAACGCTGTGAATTTAGTGATAAACTCTCCTTTGCGCAGCTGTTATCAGTGATAACATTGAAACTGGGATGAACATTTGTGGGTTTTGGCCAATTGTGTGCCAGGTTACACTGAAATATAAGGGGATTTTGAATTCTGCCTGGCAATAAGTGGACCTTCATTAAGAATCACCTTTTTTTTCTCAAGAGCACCTTTTTACAGATTGGTTTTATTGGTCTTTGTAACTGTACAATTCTGTAGCTATGTACTAATTACCCAGATTATTTCAGTGGCAATTGAAGCTTGTGTAATTTGAAATTTTTTATTTTAGATTGTATCTCATCAATTCACCAGTGGTAAGAGCAGAAACTCTCAAGTTCCAGGAGAAAGGAGTGAAGGATGTCATTAAAGATGTGTTCCTTCCATGGTATAATGCTCACCGATTTCTGTTGCAGAATATTCAGCAAATGGAAAGGGTTAGGCAACATTTTGTTGCTTCAAATTTATTCAAAGGCCTTGAAAATTGCTTTGAAGGTTTATCTTATCTGTAAATGAAATTATTTTGTTGTTGTTGTTGTTGTTGTTGTTGTTGTTGTTGTTGTTGTTGATGATGATGATGTCAGTGCTGCAGTCACAGTACAGTTGATTACAAAGAGGTTATTGTAGCTGAAATATTTTACAATTATTCACTGAAGGGGAGGTGAATTGTGGTGGATATTTACCTTGCCACTTCACAGCTCCATAAAGATCCACCATTATTCACTGACCCTGAGGTGTATAATTGTTTTAATATATACTACACAGATACAAAGAATTTAGTTTATTTCTTTCAATACACAGAAAGATGGGAGGGAATTGATCTCTTAGTACACACTAAAAGTACTATTCACCTGTGTAGTATCTACTGACATATTATGTTTGGTTGTACCTTTTATTTTTTAACATTTAAATCTTTGGTTGAAATAACAGCATATGATTGTCGTAATCAAAGTTACCAACACTATAAATTTTTTTGAAATTTTACCACAACAAGTTATTGATAATTGAGAAACGTTTTTGATCAACTTTCCTAACAGTAACAAAGTTTACTGTATTTTCAGGTAAAAGACAGAGCTAATAATAATGAAATGATAATTTTGTATTTCTGAAATAGGACGGAAAAAAGTTTGTTCATGATGAAGAGGTTCTGATGAATTTGGGCAACACACTTGATCGCTGGATCATTTCCTTTACTCAAAGTTTGGTGTTGTTTGTCCACCAAGAAATGGCAGGTAAGTCACTCTTTACTCTAGGGGCTAAAAACAGCTGGCTGATTGAGATGTTGTTGTTAGATATTATTTATCACTCAAGAAACAGATTGAGGTCCATCTTAGTTTGACTGCAGTGCACTGTTTAGTTCCCTAAAGATAAAGCCACCTTCATTGTTTTGATAGTTGCATCAATCTTGACTAGAGTATGTGCACAACGTAGAACTGTGTTGCAAAGAAACCACTTTTAATAATTTTAGTACATGTCTAACTTTTACGTCTGGCTTTGGACAACAAACTCTTTTTGACATCCCTAAACTACTCTATGTAAGGGTGTTAAGCCAGTAGACTGATTGAAAGTATGAATTATCACATAAGTATCAATTACCGGCGTGTGGTTGTGTTTATGATGGCTCAATGCAGTAAGGAGTCCTTGGCCAGCCTTGCAAAATATGTTGATCGTAGTAAAATGACTTACTGAAAGTGACTATGCATCCCTCTTTTTTGTAGCCTATCGACTGTACACTGTTGTTCCTCGGCTGGTCAAGTTCATTGACTATCTGACCAATGTGTATGTGCGAATGAACAGGAAGAGACTCAGGGTAAGGGATTAATGAACTGTGAAGGGTCAAGGCGTAACTCTTTGGTAAAACACGACTTCCTTCGTTAGATATCTTTTGCTGTGACAGTTTATTGTGCCACGTACATTACATTACTTACTTTTTTTTTCTGTAATGGCTAACCACAATGTCAACATCAAGGCAGAAGTAAGCCTTAAGTAAAAGAAACATTTCGAAAATTTTAAAAATTACATTTTTAATTTGCATCAAAACTTATTTTATGGTTTTTCATGTTGTTTATGTGGAATTGATTTGATTAAAAAACACCTTACAGTAATTATGAAGGAACACAAAAACTTCACCTTTTTTCAATATTTGCCGAAGATTCAATTGATACATTGGATATTTTTTACGGTGTAGGGGGAGTATGGGGACAAGGATCGTTACGAGTCACTTCAGACGCTGTTCAGTGTTGTATTTACCATCACAAGGTTAATGGTATGTTCTGATATGTTGATTTTGAACAATCAGATACTAAACTCACACCTATAATGAACTCTAAGTCAGGAATGATAGTAAGCACGCATCGCTACAGTGGTAGGCAAGTTATGTATTCTGTGAGAACACGAGTCCCGGCGGAGTAAGTTGCTTACTAAAAAGATCCATTATGATCTCGAATTCAATTTAAACACGGCAGTGACCATGTGTGTCGGTCTTACGAGTGAATTCGTGTTCTCTTGTTTCTAGGCGTCATTCACTCCATTTCTTACAGAGTTCAATTATCAGTCTTTGCGGCCTTTCATACCAGAAAGTATGAAAATCGGAGAAACAGAGAGTATCCATTATTTGATGATCCCTAAGGCCAGGTGGGTACATTTACTGTCTTATTACTCTTTGTGAGCTAGTTTTAATCTTAATACACGGTTAAGAAAAAAATTTGACCTCGTTATAATTGTTTTTTATTAAAATAAGTTTTCACTGACGTCCTAGAGGACATTAATTTTTTCATGGATTGAGCATGTATTAAGAAATGTCAAGTTTGTGATGTGGGAAAAATGTTAAACAGACATCAAAATTTGTTAGCAAACTGAAGCTGTGCTTGCAGCTGGTTCTGGCTGTGAGCAGTGCTCCACTGACCCATTTCTGCCCTTGAATTTACGGAACGCGTGGCTGCAATTAGTTCAATCTTTATTTCTCAACTGCCCCTGTGCTTTGGTTTTTATTTGTATAGCACGTTTTTTTAATTCCACAACTCATCATTATTACCTTAACAAAATATTTTATCTGAAGGGAAAATCTAATTGACAAAGAGATTGAGAGAAGAGTAGCCCTAATGCTAACAGTGATTGAACTTGGCCGAGTCGTTAGAGAGAGAAAAACTCTTCCGTTGAAGGTAAGAATCCCTCTCAGCGATAAATTTCTCATGTGAAGTAAGTTTTAAGAGTTGTGATATTTCAGAGATTTTGCGGTTTGATAAAAATAGTAATAGGTATATGAAACTATTCTTTGGTTAATACCGTCAGTAGATTAACAAATTAAGCTTGTCTGCGGTGAAAATTATTTTAATGTAGGTTTTATCAGAATGGATTCGTATCATAATAAAATATTTGTGTCATTTTCGGTGATGATTTCAACTCAGAGGCTCGTTAGAGAGACCAAATCATTGAGGTAATTATACCTTGAGCCTTCAGTAAGTGATGTGAGTTACAGGAGTTAGTTACATGAGGAATTGAGCGGGAGGAGTACAAACAACTTGAGAAATCACTAAATCATCAAATCTATCGATTTTTTTATACATCAACTGGACTGCTATCGTTAAAAAACTCAGTTTTTAATATTCATTCATAGTGAAACGAAAGAGAATGGTGGAACTGATTTTGGTTTGAGGAGAGTTTTGAATACTGAGCGGGTAGAATAGGCAGTGAAAGTCAGTGGGTAATTCTCAGTGAAGAGTAACTGACCCCTTCGCGTTTTTCAAATCACTTGCGGATGCGTGACAGGCAGGACAAATCTGGAAAAAGAGCTCTCTTCAAACGACTGTCGATAACATACCAAGGGGACCTGGAGTTTGGCCTAAGGGTGTGATATCCTATGTACTGTTCATATGATAGCACACAAAACGAAGAAAGTTCTAGTCACCCTTCAATGCAATGGCAACCCTTGTGGTATGTCATGTGTTCATAAATGAACTTTTACCGTTAGCCTTTATCCTGAAGTTGGGCGTTGGACAACTTGTGAGAAGTTCTTGTAGTTCTTTCTCTAATATATCTTTCTTCCATTGTCCTGACTTGCATTGTTATTTCCATCGACGTAGGCTTCCTAACATTGAGCTTTTTTTCTCCAGTATCCCCTCCCTGAGCTTGTCGTCATTCACCAGCTGCAACAGACCCTTGATGACGTGTTATCTCTGGAAGACTATATCAAACAGGTACATATCGATCGAATACCGCGGACTTTACTATTCACTTTACTGGTAGTTTTCTCTAATAACCGTATTTGATGTGTCTCTAGGAAGTGAATGTGAGAAAGTTAACAGTGTCATCAGACAAAAACAGGTTTGGGGTTCAACTCAAAGCTGAGCCTGATAACCAGACATTGGGGCGCAGATTGAAAGGTGCCTTCAAAGAAGTGTCTCAGGCAATTAAAGGTATCTTATAGCTTGACAAGTTTGTTTGTTTATGTGAAAGTATATTTAATTGACCGTTAGTCAGTAGAAGCTATTAATTAATGCCACTTTAAATATTTTTGTAGGTCTTTCAGACCAGGAAATACAAGTGTTTAAAGAGAAAGGAGAGCTGATGGTGGCTGGGCACTTACTGAGTGGAACAGATTTAAGGGTGACGAACTAATCAATTTTTATAGTTCGCGGAGTCAAGAGAGATTGTTCCTATTCATACCCACCATGCAATTGTAACAACTATTTGTCTCGGTTGTTAGGTGATATACTCATTTGATCAGAATGGATCAGCGCCGTCAGCATATGAAGCACACTCTGATGGAGAGGTTAGCGCTGATTACTTTTAGCGATTTTTAATTGAGTATCGAAAGTAATCTTGGATTGCTTTGGTTTTGCTTTACTTCCCTTTGTGATTGGTCCAGAAAACTCGTGCCACCGACCATCTCAACCAATCAATTGCAGAACTTAAACCAATCCCGTACCTCCGTGCTTCAACTATTGAGCAATTGTAGAAGTTAAATGAGATGGAAAGATACCATACTGCCATTGTTGCAATGATATCGTGATTTGCTTCATGCCATCTCATCCGTGCTAATATGACTGGAGAGTTCAATGATTCCTGTAAACTGAAGTACAAGCTCTTCCCTGACAGACTCATTTAGTTAGTGCCACCGTTTGTTTTAGACATGAGTAACGTGCACGTTTTGTTGTCATCAAGGTACTTGCTCTTTTGGATATCACCCCGGATCAGTCTTTGCTCTCTGAGGGTGTGGCACGGGAAGTGGTCAATCGAATTCAGAAACTGCGGAAAAAGGCAAGTGCAGCTAGTCTCAGTGACACCTTGACTTCTGGCTTTTTAGTGTGATTTGTCGGAACTGTCGGCCAATTTCCATCTTAAACCTGAATACGCAGCAAAGGTGAAACACCTATTTCTTCCGTTTCTTGCCCCTAAATAGCTACCAGGTTGTAGCTCTTAAACTTTTTACGGTGGCCAATTAACGTTATCAACTCAGTTGATAATGCTAAATTACCCTGTTATACTCTCTCACCGACGCAGCACCACAGCTTCTTTAGAAACTCATCCCCTTTATTCATCTGCTAGATTCCCTTACGCTTTAAGAAAAATTAGAAAATTCCGTTACCGCGATCGGCAGGAAATATTTACCAGAATTTAAATCTAAAATTAGCTATTTGTAACTCACTTCGCATTCGCGAACCACTTTTTATTCCCTCACTGGGACATAATGTGACTTAGAACACAACTCGAGAGTGTCCCTTGGTAGGTCTTGTTGAGGTGTGAACTTGTGATCCCACAAATCGTGGCTGACTTCTCACCGTTGTCATCTCGTTAGGCTCAACTTCAGCCATGCGACGACATCACCATTGTGTTTGACGTTACACAAGGCATGTTAGATGACGTCATCAGTGAACACAAAGGTTACATTGAAGATAGTGTTAAGCAACCTGTTGTGTCCAGTTCTCTCGCACCGAGCTTGCCTCTAATAATTTCCGAGAAAACAGAGGTATGTATGACGCATCTGCCTGAAGAGTATTGACGAAATTTGATCTAATTGTTCATGAAATTAATTTTACAAAAAATTTCAATTTTTGGGGTTCTATGGAACAACGCACAACATTTGGAAAACACGTAGAAAGCTTGTGAATCAGTAAGCAATCAGCGTATGGTCCCTAGAGTTATGTTACGTTGGCTTGGAGTTGCTTAGTGAGTGTAGGCTTAGAATATCCAAATAGTATTGTGGCGAGTATCCAAAATTTAAGGATACGGTCTTTCCGAGCTTTCTGCTAGCGTCTGATTCATAAACTAATGACCAACCTTTTTGCTTACTGACAAGTGCCCTGAGTCTCTTACTTAGGGTGACCACACTGCATAGATGATTTAGGGGCCCTCCCATCCAATAAAAAATACATGATGATTATGCCAACCAATCTTTTAAGCTGTATTTAAGAATTTAATTCCGTCTTAACCGATAATCACTCGAAATCGATTACGAACCGACAGTAATGAAGTTTTGAGCTGCGAGCTGTGTGGAAAATTCCTTAGTACCTGACCTCGCAACAGCTGACTGCTTAAACAGGACTCAGAATGGCCCTCGGAGAACAGGAATCTTCGACTGTAAAATACCCTGCAACTCTCTTTTTAAAAAGGGGCACCCAGTATTTTCCCTAAACCAGTGTGCTTGTCAGGTTTGTTTTGTTTCGTTTCATGTGCCTTTATTCTCATTTCCATGGTCAATTTTAGGTTAAAGGTAGTATGCTTGATCTGAAGTTGTTGAAAGGTCATCAGACTGCAAACAAGGAAATGACTGTTGGAGAACCGCTGTGCAAATTTGTAAACGTACTGCTGTGTAGAGGTGGAGCTGGGGTAGTTAAAGGAACTGTACTTTTGGAGAATCCTCAGGGCAGCCCGGTCATTTCATTGGATCAACTTAAGCGACAGGTACTCTTGATTGCCGTTTTTTTATCATGGTGTGAGCCCTCAAAACAAACAGTTTTGTCTCTTTCTGCTGGGTTGAAGGAGGTTCCCTCAAACAGGTTATGACGAAGGTGGAATAGACAGTCGTTCTGAAGCTGCACAAGGTGCTTAGAGTTGCTTGACTGTTCGATACAACATTTTACTCTTCTTACCATCGAACCAAAACTATTACACTTGTCCTTGTTAAATACTTGTTTAATTGTAGTTTATTTTCTGTTCACTATTCTCTTATTGTTTGATGTCTCATAATCTGTTAAGCCCGTCTATTGGAAGGATACTTCATTACCGCTCTATTTACCATGTTTGAATGCTTTCAAAACAGGTAGCCGTAATGTTTAGTCAACAGGAGAGTGCTTTGAAACTGTCTTTGTCGCCAAAATGTGAATCAGGTTAGTTCATATACCAACAATTCATACTCTGACTGTAATGTCTGTCCTGTCTTAGTGCAATCCACTTTCCTACTTGTTTTGAAAAAAAGAAGAAATAGTCAACAATTATTCACTGAAAAGAGGTAGTTATCTAACCTTTTCACTGACACTGACGTGGATAACTGTTTTTTGAATATACCACACAAGAACCAAAAAATTAGCCAAACTAGCCAATTGGCGTGCGCGAAAAGTATTACTCACCGTGTGATATATATTAATGCAGTCCATATTCTACGTTCTTACTATACTAAGTGTGTAGTTTAACGTTATTTTATCATGTTTCTTTCAGTTGTTACCGACAAAGACATGTCCAAATTGCATGGCTCTCAATTGTACGCTTACGTCACAGGCTGAGTTCGGCCATTTCGAATCTTGTTTTCAGTAGTTTAGTGTATTTCTGTTGGCGTCAACACCTGACAGCTAATTTTCCCGAGTCACCATCTGTTAATTTTTTTCACCTGCAGTAGGCCCAATAGTGTTTTGAATGAAAATAAAGGTTGATGTCCATGACATTTTTGTCATGTAAATTGTCCCACTCAAAACCTTTTTCTTTCAACAATATCCTAAAATTGCCTTTCTAGAGAATCGTGAGAATGTAGCTTAAATTTGATAAATTATCTTCTCTTTGATAAAAAAAGCAAACACGTGAACACAAATTTAACAAAAAACAAACACGTGTGTTAATTACTGTTCCCTTCTAAAAGACAATTAAATAGCTAAACAGCACGGTGCATGTGCCAACGATGATGGAACCACATTCTTTCCATGGAAATAAACAAGAGGAGAAGAACTATCTTGTGCGAAATTTTTCCGTTTGAGATTTCGTTTAACAAATATGACGGCACTCAGTAGTTTGATACTTAGTGGGAATTCGTTTTCCCTTTTTGTTAGCGTTAATTCTAGCATTTAGTCTAAACGATGAAAATCTGAACATTTGTAGAAGTGCTACACGTTTCGTAAAAATCTTTCTTTGAATTTTCCCCACTACCTGACTGTTTTTGGAAAAAAAAGTTGTTTTTAGAGTTATTCAATAAACAAAGTAAACTCAAGGTGTGGTTTTAGTAATGACTCAGTCTCTGCGAATTACGAACAGAAAACATTCTCAAAAGACAGACCACAAGACACTACGGGCAGACAATTACTTTATTTTAGTATTCAAAAAATTAATTATTACTTTTTAACATTCCCCATGTGGTTCGGTGTGGTAAATTTTGACGTTTTCAAATGTCACATGTACCGCACATCGCTGACTTCTGGATTGTTCCTCTAATTCTGACTTGTAATCCGTTCACCAAACGGAAAATGAAGCATTGAAAAATTGGTCGGTAATAGAACGTTCGAATATGACACTATTTTTATCTGTGATGAACAGAAACTGGTTTCCGTTTTCCACAAGTCTGAAAAATCATTGGTTGTGTAGTACACCAGCTGAACGTAAATTCAAATAAAAATTTGAATCAAATAATTTCTGTGATGATATTCAGTTTATCATCTCTAGCCGCGTGTCGGCATAATCATTGTTGAAAACTTGATTTGATGTTCCTTTTGTCCTTTCTTGTAACGTTAATCACACAATGGTTCGACCTCCCTTTGTTTGGTTATTCTACCATTTCATCGTCACTCATCTCCCAAACCTGAGACAACAAACCAGCGTGAGATTACTATTACTACTTCCTCTCCACCGGAATATATTCAATGTTTGTTTACGTTCTAACGAAGGGATATAAGGAGCGTCTGATGGTTAGCTATTCAACATTACACCCTCATATAATAGACAGTGCTCATATTGAGATTGCTGAAGTTATTCTTTCTTTCTTTGATTGCTTTTTCCCCCAAAATCAGTGGAATTAAAGGCAAAGGTTAGTTATCGGTGATGCAGCATATTCTGCAAACTTGTACACTTCTTCAGCGATCCACATGGGAGGTGCGTATACCATGGGAAAAGATTACACTTCATGACAATTTCATTCACCAACATGAATAGCCACAACCTGTTCCACAATATCAACAGTAATACACGGTATCCGTTTTCCTTCGTAACTGTAAGCAATGCTTCTGCGCAAGAAATGTAGCGCTGCAAGTAGTTAATACATTGTATTAAATGTAATAGGCAACGTAAGGTAGAAAAGTATCGCGTCATAGCGAAGTGATGTTTCTCTAGGTAAGTAGTGTATTCCTTACGTTTTTGGCCACGGGAAACGGCAAAAAATTAACTCAAATTTGGAAATTTTTCAAAAAAACTGAGTCGTTCCCAGTTGATGCAAATATTTTCAATTCAGTGTAAAAAAGACAGCAGAATGAGGGACGTTCGACTTTTGCCGTTTGCCGTCGATTGTAGTGCCGAATTGAGATTTTTCAAACTGAGTGGTGGTGTGATGGTTACAGTTATTTGATAAACAGAAAATCTGTAGAAACCAAGAACGATATATCATCGACTAACCTCGCTAACTCTTGTGTCCTGAAGAAGCTGTGTCAGGCCTGTTAGGTCTTCTAAGTAGCTTGGAACATTAAAAACCTTTATCAGGAAAGAAAATTTTTCCTTTTCATAGCTTGACAGAACCTGGAAGAACAATTAACAGACAACTCAATACTTGATGAAAATCGGTGACAATCGATATCAATCGCTTTTGATACATTCCACTTGATCGACCGATAGCGAAAAACGATTGTCAACAGACAGCAGACAAAAGAAGTGAGAGCCACACCCTTGCCAACAAGTCGCAGTGACTTAACTGAGAACAAGTTGTTTTGCGACAGACGATTTCCTCGAAACACGTTGTAATAATTAAGAATTATTGGGATAAATGCAGGTATAAAACCCGGGGGGTTGGGGTAGAGGGTCACTTGGGTCAATTTTTCAGGGTAAGTGCCGCTTGCCTCTCAGAACCCCTACCCCATTTATAGTCTATTCTGTGGCCAATTATGGACCCCATCTTAGTCTTTTTGGCAAATGCAATTTTCGCGATCCCAACTTTGTTATGATCTGGTGATAGATGTACATTATAAAGCCTTTGGTTGTCCTAATTTGTTAAACTGAGTGTAGAACACCTTTTCCTTACCAATATCCTACAGATGTGTGACCCCATTCAAGAAACTGTATTAAAAAGCAACCCCAACATAGTCCACCCAGTTTTGAAAAATGCAACCCCATCCAGCAGCATATCTCCATTAGCAAATTACTAAGAGGTAAAGCCCCCGAGCCAAAGCTGTTTCTCACAGAAACCTGCCCCCTAGTGTTCTAAGACCACGAATAAGAGGAAAAAAAACACGTTATCTGATGGCAATCACAGTTTGTCTTACCTTGGAAGAACAAGCAATGCATTTGTCAAAGCCTAAACTTGCGGGAAGAACTAGATGATATCTTGAAAGAAAACCACGAATCTTGAAAGAAACACAAACAAAGTATCTACTAAGAAAGCAAATTGACATTAAACTTTGCCTAATAAATGAAATATATTGACATCACTACATTGTCTATTAGAACGAATAACAATCTTACCTGATGAGGTACAAGGCCCAACTTACACTCCAGATCAGCTGACAGATGAGCTTCTTTAGCGCTTGTGTCAGCGGCCGCTTCATTGCTGTCAAAATCAAACCCATTACACTGATTAATATGCGTTCAGTCATATCATACACTTAAGATAGGCAACATAAAGGTCAACTAATCTCATTCCGATAAATTTGTTTACTTTCGGTTATTTTACCTTCGACCATCTGAGACCTTTTGACTAGTCTCAGTGAGAAATGTAAGGCCAATCTTATCCTTTGTGTTCCATTTCATCCACTGCATATTTAGAACTTCATTGTCCGTGTAACAGGACGTTATAGGGATTCGTATGTAATGGGCATTCCTATAGCGTAATTTTACAAATTGAATTAAGCGATAACACAAGAATTCCTACTTACCCCAGAGGGTGTTGAGTGAGAGAAACCAGAAGTTCAACAGCCAGGGCACTCGCTATGTATGACATACCAGGCCTGGATACTGTGCACTGCTGGTCCAACGTACGGTCTCTAGTGGACTGTTTCCACAAAATAACGTCAAAAACTGAGTCATTACTGATAAAGTATTCAAAATCTTATTTTATAACTAAAAAAGATTACTCCTTAGGGAAGAAACACCTCCAAAATAGAAATGATTTAAGTATCTGAGGTTGGACTTCTACAAGTTACTAAAGAAAAACTGAATTACGAGCGCCCTGATTGGTCAAAAACCTATTGTTTATTGCATCGGTGATCCCATATAAAATTGAAACATACTGTGTTTTGTTTTAATTCTAATTTGTAAAAGTAATAGACCGCACTTCCTAACGGTTTAATAGCGCGATAATCCTCTCAGAATGTTGGGAGAACACCCGGAAAGTTTGTGAATGACTTGCCTCCGGCTCGTGATCTACAAACTTGAAGAAGCTTTCTTGTGTTCTTCCAAAATCCCAAGTAGGTTATAACGCCGGTAAACCGATAGAAAGGTCGGTCTATCGCTTAAATAGTATGTACTGTGGTTTAAATGACTTACGTCTCCTGGTGCCACCACATCATTACAAAAATAACAGCCCAGAGAGGCTCCTGGTATGGACTCTAGCTTGGACGCTCCTTCGCAAATAACATGCGCTTTCTGTCTGGAACCATGGCGCATCACAAGGAATGTATCAAAACCAAGAGCCGCTGTAATGACAAACTGAAAAAAAATTTAGGTGCACGTTTTTGAACCTCATGATAGCTATAGACACTTGACAACAATCATTCCCTCAAATGAAGTTGGATACTACAAACTTGCCTCTTACAGTTATACGAGTCTTATTTGATTCGTCTGGAGCCGAGAAACTGGTTTTGATCTCAAACTTCAAGTTGTCATCATAATTACCTAGTGGTCTGTAAATTACTTGAGATGTCAAAGTACCTACTGAAGTATATCCATTTTTCTGAAGGCTGCCTCTTTACTTTAACTGTACCTGGTTGGTTTTTCAAAGTTCCATAAAAGTTAGCCTAAGATTACCTTCCCTTTAACAGCACCAATAACTGTCGGTAGCCAGCGGCTTTCTCGTGTGTCCATCAGCAGAAATACAGCATCGTGAGATTCAATCAACTCTTCAAGTTTTTTCACATCTCCTTGAACTTTCTCCATTTCCTCTATAAAAGCAATTGTCGTTATTGAAACATTGTAGAGATAAATTATCACAGATCAGATAGTGATATATCAAACAACTTACAAAGGAAAGTTTTCTTTACCTGGAGATTGTCCAACAGAGTGGCCTGGCATCGGAATGGACAACTGTACAGCTGACGCATTCTATCGACAAAACACAAACGTTTTACGAAGTGGCAAAAAAAAAAAAGATAATCAAATACACAAACCACTGAATAAAAGTTATATAAACAATGGAATGGCTATTAAATTCCTTCCAATCTACATAACTAACTAACCAACTATAACGAAATTGAACAATTTAAGTAATGGTTTGATAATGTTAGGTGTCATCCTCGCAATCAATAATATTAAACAAAATAGTACTGGCACTCTAGTAAATCTTACCACACCAGGAAATATCCTTTTAAGTGCGGAGGCGGCAGTCTCTGCTTTAGGCTTGCCTCCGTCCTGACAGTCGGCAAACTCAAACAGAGTTTGACGAACGGGATTGGAGAATGAAATAGTTCCATAGTCGACAAAGGTAATGGTCCGAACACCCCAGCCCTTAAAAAGAAAGAAAAACATTTAACAATTGGAAAATGCACAGAATAAATGTGCAAATCTAGTACAGCAACTAATTCGGTAAAAGTTATCACCCT